CAGTGCCCCCAGGTGCGGCCCGGGCCCCGCGCCCCCGCGCAAGGCCAGCGACGTGTGCCCCAGGAGGGTCAGGTAGTGCGGCGTCCAGAGCCCGAACTGCGTGCACACGGTGGCCACCAGGAGCCTGTGCACCGAGGGGTCCAGCCTCCCCGAGTCCTGGTCGAGGGGCGTGTCCTCCTTGCGGATCCGGGAGATGAGCACGAGGGCGTAGAGCACGGCCAGGCCGGGCACCAGGTACCCGATGAGCACCAGGATGGCGTCGGCGGCCTCCGGGTGCTGCATCTTGGCGCACTCGACGATCCTGGCCGCCACGTGGCTGCAGATGTAGAAGAGCAGCGAGGAGAAGCTGGTGAGCAGGGCCCCGCCCCAGACGAAGCCGCACACGTGCCGGCTGTTGTAGACGCTGGACATGTAGGTGCGCGGCAGCGCCCGCTCGATGTAGTAGTCCAGGCTGAGCAGGGCCGTGGAGTACATGGTCACCAGCGAGCAGACGTTGAACAGGACCAGCAGCGTCACGTGGGCCTCACTGCTGAAGCCCCACAGGGCCCACCCGGAGGCGCCGGGGCCCAGCAGGTGCGCGGGTGCCAGGGCGCTGAGCACCAGGCCGGCCACGGCCATGTTCACGAAGTAGACGTCGGGCATGGTCATGCTGCCCTGGTCCTGCAGGTTCGCCAGCACCAGCAGCGCGTTGTAGCCCAGGCCCACGGGCACGCCGACTGCCAGGTAGAGCAGGGAGAAGGCGGACAGCACCAGCTGGGAGTGCTGGCAGAAGGGCTGGTCCTCGCCCCGGCCCGTGCCGTTGAGCGGACCGCAGCTCCACATGGCGCCAGGGCAGCTGGCTGTGGGGAGAGCAGGGAGGTTAGTCGTCACCTGGAGCCAGAGCCCCAGGCCTGTGGGTCCCCAGAGAGCTGGGAATCCCAGAAATGGGGCTTTTTCACAAGGAAGCTCCATGAAAGTCAAGTGTCGCCGCAGGTGCTACCCGGGGCCTGAGGGCCAGCGCCGCAGGGATGCTCATGGCCACAGGCCCATCCCTGAGGAGTCTGAGCACCGGGCCATTCACCCAGGCTGCTCCTGGGGCTGCGGCCCCACTGGCTCCCCGCCACAGTGGCTGGCAGTCAGGGCCTCCCCCAGGGCGGGCGCCCTGCAGCTCCTACCGACCTGGGCCGGAGCCTTCGGGCTCTGCTCAGTCCTGCCCGTGCCCTGCGCCCAGCTCTGTTACTGGAAAGTGAGAAGAACACAGAGTGCCCTCAGAGGCTGGTGGCCCAGCCAGGGCACCTCCAGGGGAGGGAGGGCCTGCCCGAGGCCTGGCCGCCCACCAGCTCAGCCTCATCAGCCCCTCCCACTCCAGAGCCGCCTGCCAGGGGAGCAGGGACTGAGTGAGGGCGCAGCCTCTGGGCCAATGAGGACACAGCCGGCCTTCTGGCCTGAATCTGGGCTCTTCCCCACACACGTGGGGATGGACAGTCCCTCTGCCCGCATTCCCTGTCTCTCACGGTGCCTGGGTAGCACAGGACGCCGCACAAGCAGCCCGAGGGCGGGCAGAGGCGCTGGGCGCTGGTGCAGGGTCACAGTGAGCCTGAGCCTCGGAGAGTAGGAAGCGCTGCTCTGGGAGATGCCCGCACCAGGGGCTGGAGACCTGAGGGACCTGCAGGGGGCGGGGCTCAGGTGACGTGGCCTGTGGGAGCCTGGCCCTGTCCTCCCGCGTCTCGGGCCGTGCACGTCCGGTCCGGGTGGCCTGTCGTCCAGTGCGTGGGGGGCCTGGGTGGGCTCAGCACTGGCATCGGAGAGAACTGGCAGGAAGAGCAGGAAAAACTTACGACCCGATGTAGTTTGGCCAAGCACCTGTGCTCACAGGCCAGGTGAGGGCCTCTTAGCAGCACTTGTGTCCCAGGCTGAGGCATAGGCACAGTCCGCCCTGCCGGGGGCACTGCCCCCCTGGGTGCCGTGGACAAAGGGCTCTGCCGCCTGTGGGTCCAGAGCCCGTCCTGTGGCACGTCCCACAAGCCTTTCCCGTGTCTGCCACGCCCCACCACCGTGCCGGAGGCTGAGGCTCAGCAGTGAGCAGCGGGGAGGCCCCACCCGTGGTGGGGAGGGATGGGGGTGCAGGAGTCAGCGCCCCCACACCCTCTGAGCGCCATGGGGCAGGCGGGAGGGACACCGAGTCTGTGGCAATGTCCTAACAGCCTGGTGAGCGCCTCCCAGCAGCCCAAGGAGGTGGGTGCAGGTGGTAACGAAAACGCTGGGCAGCCCCGCTCTGCCCACACGTGCGGTTACGTCACTGTCCACAGTGTGCCCAGCGACACAGTGGGGTCTCCCCCTGCACAGTGCTCCTCGGCCTGCGGGGCTGGATTCCAGGAGAGCAGGTGCACCAGGCAGGGTCCCCCATGGCCCTGGCGCCTCTGGCACAGCTCGGGAAGCTTGGCTGTTGACACGCTGCGGGAGGAGCCGTGCGCGGCACCCTTCAGCTGCCTCCCGCAGTTCCCTTCTCCCGTTCCCCAGCGAGGCTGAGCACACGGCGCAGGTGTGTGAACGCTGTCTCCTGTCCTGGCGCCCCCTCCCTCTCAAGGCTCCTGCTGAGCCGGGAGCGTGGGTGTGGGGTTTGTCCACCGGACCTCTCTGTTCCCGTCCCCAGCAAACACTGCCTTCCTGCGGCCGTCCCGGCCTTGCCAAGCTGCACGCCCCAGGGCCCCTGGAGTCTACCAAGGTGTTCCCACCTGTCCCGCCTCACACGCACACGCACACACACACGCCCCCACACACGCCCCGTGGGGGCAGGAGGTGGGGCCGCGGCCTCTGGGAGGCAGGCGCCCACTGTCACTGGAACAGGTGACGTCTGGCCCTGGGGTCTGCTGCCAGGTCACAGCCCAAGAGATGCCTCTTGGCCCCACAGGCTGGCCCTGGTCAGGCCTCCGCTGCCCTCACCTGCCCCGTCCGTGCTCACGTTCTGAGCGCCGGGCCACCGTCTCCTCGCAGCAGCCCCTCCCAGGCTGTGTGCACGGCTCTGTCCCCACTGCGGGCGGCCCGCACGCCCCAGCCTGTGTGTGGGGTGTGGGGCTCGCACAGCAAGGAGCTCCTCTCACCTGAAGTGAACCGAGCAGACATTTGGGCAGAAACTCAGGACACAGTTGTACCTTCTGGGACACGCGTTGGCCTTGGGTCAGTGCTGTCCCTGGGGTGGGCGGGGCACAGAGCCAGGAGGCAGCAGCACAGCCTGCAGGCCCGCCTGCCCCCCCACCCCAGCCAGGCCCAGGGACTGCACCCCGCAGCAATGGCTGGCCTCGAGCGAGTGTCCGGTTCTGGCCCAGATGGGCTGGTTCTTGGGAGATGGTCACATGAAATAAAATCCGTGGAGAATTTCCTGGAAGCAGGGGGGACAGGCGGGGACTGTGCGCTGGGCTTCAGAGCAGAAAGGCTGCGTGCGTGCGTGCTTGCTGGCAGCTCGTAAGCATCCGTCCGTGTGGCCTCCCGCACCCACGGGAGGGGAGGGACTGGCTTCAGGTGCAGGTTCGGCTCCAAGGCCCCGGTGCCCGCTCGCTTTCAGTCTGGTGCTTCCCACGGGCGGGGTGGCGGGGCCCCTGGTCCCCCCAGGTGTGAACAGGTGTCTGGAACGTTCTAGAGTGCGGACCTCTCACCCTTACCCTGTGAGCTCGCGGGGTGGGGGCGGGGAGGCAGGGTTGCTGGACTTGGCCCCACCCCTCCGGCCCCCATTTCCCTGCAGTCACTCCCCTTCCCTCCTGGGTCTGGTTCTGTGAGTCCAGGAAGGAGCTGCCTGGCAAGAGGGGAACCCAACAACAATGGTCGGCCCCTCCCCCTCTCCCCCTCCCGCCTCAGGCACAGGCCTCGGAGGCAGCAGCCGGATTCCAGGTATCCAGCCTGTTCCTTCCTGAGACAGGAACTCACAACTCAGCGGTGCAGACCCGGCTCCTGGAAGGGCCTCTCTGCTTCTTGGTCCCCTGACCAGACAGGAGAGAGGGGGCGGCTCCCTCCAGCCGCGGGCCCCTCTGCGCCTCCCA